CAGCCAGACCTGCTGAGCTTTTCCAGCAACTTTGTTTTCGTTCCTGATTTACAGCATCTGCAGTTCTTTTGGTTTTTATTACAGACTCCAACAGTCTCACAACCACAACACTGAATGGAAAATTAGGCCTGTGCCTCACAATCAAGGTTGGGTCCGTGCTGAGTAACCTTACAGTACCAGCCTGTTATATACAGTAATGGGATGGGCACAAGACACTGTGAATCAAAAGCCTGACAGTGTCAAATTCCAGAAGTTGTTCCAAATTAGCATGATTAACTGTAAATACATACAAACAAATCAACAGACATAACACAATGTGGAGCTGGAGGAACACAGCAGGCCAACCAGCATCAGAGGAGCAGGAAAGCTGACGTTTTGGGTCGGGACCCAATCAACAGTCATTTTAAACCCTAATTAGAGAGTACAGACATCTTCAGTCTGAATATGAAGTTTCTACATCTCCTTCTGTTGTCAATTTTCAAACTTGGTTTGTTTTCAAATCACTGGTCTTATTCACAGTAGAAAATAACCTGTTGTTTGTCAAGAAACCTATTATAACCATATTGATGTCTTATTCAATGAGATGATGACTCCCTAAAGTCTAGCTGGCTTATGTGTGCAACAAAAATAGCTGCCTTTGTTACCAAAACTGTACAGAAGAGGGGATAGTTGAACTTAACTCATTGGGCGAGACTCCTGTGGGACTGGGAGGTTTTATACCCTATAACCTTCCATTTACCTCAAATCAGAGTACAATTGGTTGGAGATTAAAAGTCAACACTGCACCCAATCTTCTCAGTCTTCACAATGGGTGGGTTAAATCAGAGTGCTCCTTAATTAAAGGAGCTTTCGCACTGATTGATAAAAGATCATGCTGGTGATCTGCTGATGTGCTCCATGAATTACAAGCTGGCAGCCAAAGAAAGTTCAGATAGGAATACACACAACTCAAACTCGAACTCTGAAACCAAAATGTCCCATCTTCAGGAATTCAAAGTCAACGAGTCCAGTTGTAGAAAGGATTGGACCAATATGAGCCGATCTATAACCCACTTAAAATATATGTCTGAGATGTTATAAATTGCGGAAGCATGTTAATAATATGCCATGGCTTAGCCTCGACTCTGCACTAGACTTAATTTTAAGCTGATTGACTACCTGTACACCCTAAACCCAACTGGAATGATAACCATCCATTTGAAGGTTAAACAATTTACTGTCTACTGTACAGTTAGATGATAGATAACTGGATGATATATCTTATTGGATAGACTGGGTCTTGAGATTATGACAGGAGGTACTAAGCAACAAATCATTTAACTTTCTTAAGAAAAGCAGACATATCTTGGACAGTATCTGTGCCTGGTGGAGAAACACCAACAGACAATGAATGAGACTTTTCACTACACCGACATCACAATGAAAGGTGAGACAACCTGTTTGTCATTGGGAGCACTAGGGTAACCAGAAAAAGAAGCCAACTCACTGCTGACTGGATTAGGGAATAGTAACACACCCAAGGGAATAAACAGAGGAGAAAATTGATCTTTGATTACCTTACTGGCCTAGACAGATTGCTCTGTGAGCACTGGAACAACAGGAGGCCCTTCAGCCCTTTAAGCCTATTTTGTCCTTAAATTAGATCATGACTGATCAGTTCCATAATTCCATTTACATGTTTTTGTTCTATATTTTTTCCTGACATATATACCAACCTTGAGAGGTTCACTGGCCCCCAAAATGCATAGCCTTTTAGGAGAAAGAATTCCAGATGTTTACTTGCTTCCTGATTTTACTCTGGAATGAATTCTGACCGTCAAACAGCCTTCCCTTTCCCAATGCCAACATTTGTATCATTAATTAATAGGATTTTGTTTTGTTGTTTGGGACACAGTGTTTTGGAGATAAAGCTTTAACTCCTGGAGACTCCAGGCCCATTGTGGGATAGTTGTCAACTTTATTAATATTTATGTAATCTGATCCTGACATCATTCACTAAGAACTGCTTTGAATTGAGCCAGGTTTGATGAACTGGTCTTTGTCATTCCCCAATGAGAAGAGGTCAGTAGTCATCCAGGATCATCTGCTTTGGCCACCTCTGTCCACCAGGTTAATTTTCCTACCTATATCCAGGTTGAAATTTTACACACCTCACTCTATATTGCCCCCACAATATGGTTTTAGTGACACACTCTGACACCCAGCCACTTCTTCAAATGGGAAGTCACCTCAGTACTCCCTTTGAACGTTGCCACAGTTGCTATGCTAAGGAAAAGGTGGTCAAAGGGAACGAAAAGGAGGAGAGTGATGTGATGCAGATAATTCAGTCAACAGTACCTTCCACTTCATATGAATGCACCATTGAGGAGGAAGAAAAAACATTAAGTAGAGAATGCAGACACACAGAGATACAGAATCAGAGAAATTATGGGGCATAATAACATGAAAATTACATACAATTACATTAAATATACAACACATAAGCAGGCCACCAACCCAATGGGTCCAAGTTGGTATTAATGTTCCACACAGGCATGCTCCCACCATTATCCAGCTTCTAGATTTACCAATCTAGAATCCCATATGAAATCCAGTAAGCAATTAACAGTGACTGGGGTTGAATGGGGGTTACACTACTGTGTTTACGATCCCCTTACAGAAACCATTTCGAGGACCATTTTCATGAGGAAATGCTGAGTTGTAATTGATTGTTTGAATGAAGGATTGAATCATTCATCCCACTTGCTGACTTATCAACATGTTCTGGTTTAACTGCAGCGGTTCTATTCTCTGGCTGTTCAATAGTTTCTCAATGGAGTCCTGAACCATGTTCATTATGATAACTGGGGCTTGTCCATTAAGGTGTTAAAAACTCTTAGTGAATTAGGCTACAGTTTAATATTTCATATATAGTAAATAAGTAAAATGTGTTTTAAAAATCCAGTATGGAACTCTTGCTGTGTCTTGAGTAAGTAACACACTAAGTGTTGTTTTGTTAAGGGCTGTATCCATGACCTTTCAATTCAGTGATTTATGATGAAATTATTTTTCAATAAAATAATAAACTAGACAGAAATGCCAAATCTCCTTTCTCTAGCAAGTTATGTTTGGCAAAGCCTTCAATTTAAGAATATTGTTCCTTGTGCAGTTTATCAGAATGCTGTAATCATGGGGAAAAGTACAACCCACTGGGTAACATATGAATTTTGCAATCACCTATGCACTGGAAACACAAATACATCAACAAAACACTCAATCAGCCTTTTGGAGGAAAATTTAGTCCAACTAGACAAATTAGAAAATAAATACTTATTCATAATCACAAAGAACAAGAATGTAAAAAAACTCTGCTTAACCATATTCTGGTATCATAAGATATAGTGATGCAATCACTGACATATTGATTCTTATTGCTGGAATGCGGGGAGGGAATTTCGGCAAAGACTTCGAGACAAAGGCACTGCCTACAATGGGAAATCTAAAGGGCTGATATGGGTCCCCCCTGTCATTAAAGTAGAGCCTCTTCAGTCAGTAAACTTTCACCCACACCAGCTTTTGTTCTTAAATATCCACCCAATCCACTCATCATGAGCTTTCTGTAATATGCTCATTTGGAGATGTATGTTTGGCAGGCTGGAAGCTCATGGATTTATAGGGCTTTACTGCAGCATTTTACAGAATTAGACCTAATGTTTGAGAATCAGCAACAGTTCAGGCTAAAAGGTGAAGGGAAATTTAATGAGATGTAATTCTTTCAGATCTCCTAACAAGGCAGCTTTAATCCAGGGAATGGGGATTTCTAATGAAACTGACAGGGCAGAAATAGAGGACTAGCTGACTCATGTGTGACTTCTTGACAATAGACAGGGGCCAAGTGTGGATACCTTACAATGGGGGGATCCCATGGAGGAGAATTTAATGATCACATTCTTACTACAAATACAGGATACTTCAATAGTCTAATTCCACTGAAGTAGACTTTTAAAAACAATTTTACCCATTTCCAAATTAGGAAACAGAAACAATTTTCATCTCAGGTACAGCATGAGTTAGTTCCAGAGCAAACTTCCCTATGAGTCTACATTATCCTATGAAACACTCCTGGGACTTTTTTTTATTTCACTCTTGGGATGTGGTGTCACTAGCTGGGCCAGCATTTATTGCCCATTCCTAGTTGCCCTTGAGAAGGTAGGGATGAACTGGGTTATTGAACCGCTGCAGTTCCACATGTTGTTAGTTTGCTGCACTGGATTAGATGTAGGTGTAAAGCTTCCTCAACCAAACACTCCCAGGACAGGTGTCGCACAGCCAAACGCAGGGCAAGATGACTGGCCAAATACTCCTCTAAAGCTCAACAAAATGCCTCAGCCTCTACTAGAAGGCATAACTCTATCTGCACCAATATGCCATTCTTCATTTCTTACGCTAATGACTCTGTAGACTGACTGGTTAGATTGCCAATTTAATGCTGATGTAGAGGCAGCTTTATTTTTGATCATGATCATATTGGACTGAGCTAAGCCAGCTGGAGGCCTGGGTTGAAGTCTCATCCACTCTGGATGTGTACAATAACATCTCTGAACAGGTTGATTAGAAAGTATCTAGGACTGAGCTAAGTCTTCCCAAAACTATGTTGCGCACATGCACTGTGTCACAGAGATGAACCTGATTTAATCAGTCTGCATTGAATTTGAACCCCAGAGGTCAAGATCCAGTTCACCAAATCTCCCCTTTCCTCTCCTTTATGATTTTTGGCAAGAACCCTGAGGATGAATATTTATTTTTAATTAAATCAGACCAAACCATAATGCATACTTTAGTGAATCTCACAATAGCATTGCCTTGTCTTCCATTGGCTGGGCCCACCAGAGTTTAAGTTGGTTTAAAACAGCTCCTCAACTTTTTGCTATGACATTTCCTCATTGTATCAGAGCATTTAAGTTCTTTCAGATCCTCTACACTAACCAGGAAAATAAACCTGACAGGAGCTTTGAGATTATTGAAGGGTTCCCAACAGCATCTAGAATTTAACAAAAAAGTGTAATTATCTTACAATTTGCTCTTGTGTTACTCACAATCCTTCTCATCTCTTCACCATGTCTTTACATCATCCCCCGCATCAACCTCAACAAGCATATGAACCATTAATAAACAGCACAAAGGATTGTGCAAGATAGAATAATTACAGTCTTTAGTTTTTATATTTGTAAAGGATAAATGGAGTAGTGAGGGTCCATTCCTATCATTTCAAAATTATTGCAGATAAAATTAAAACAGTCTTATTCTTCCCACACCCACTCCCCCCAGAGGCACCCCCTTCAAGAGCTGGGTTTCTATTTTTCCACCTACATCTCCATTCATCAACTTGCAGTCATCTTCGATTTCATCTGCGCTGTCCTCATCCGACACCTCACCTTCTTCAGCATCATCGCTGATATTCGCAGGGAGTTTCTTTCCCTAATAGAGAGAACCAGGAAAATAAGGGTAAATAAGTGAGCAATGGGAAGAGAAGAATGAAAATGGAGTGAGGGACAAAATGGTTGGAAAGGAACTAAAGGCACGAGAAAGAAAGAAATGGAAGATAGATGGGAAAGAAAAATGGAGAGGAGGAAGAGAGATAAGAAAGGCAGCGAGAGAGAAAGAGTTGGGAAGAACAAAGAACAAAGAAAATTACAGCACAGGGACAGGCCCTTCGGCCCTCCAAGCCTGCGTCGATCCAGATCCTCTTTCTAAACCTGTTGCCTATTTTCCAAGGATCTGTATCCCTCTGCTTCCTGCCCATTCATGTATCTGTCTAGATACATCTTAAATGACACTATCGTGCCCGCCTCTTACCACCTCCGCTGGCAACACGTTCCAGGCACCCACCACCCACTGCGTAAAGAACTTTTCACGCATATCTCCCTTAAACTTTTCCCCTCTCACCTTGAAATCGTGACCCCTAGTAATTGAGTCCCCCACTCTGGGAAAACGCTTCTTGCGATCCACCCTGTCTATACCTCTCATGATTTTGTAGACCTCAATCAGGTCCCCCCTCAACCTCCGTCTTTCTAATGTAAATAATCCTAATCTACTCAACTTCTCTTCATAGCTAGCGCCCTCCATACCAGGCAACATCCTGGTGAACCTCCTCTGTACCCTCTCCAAAGTATCCACATCCTTTTGGTAATGTGGCGACCAGAACTGTACGCAGTATTCCAAATGTTGTCGAACCAAAGTCCCCTACAACTGTAAAGTGACCTGCCAACTCTTGTACTCAATACCCTGTCCGATGAATGAAAGCATGCTGTATGCCTTCTTGACCACTCTATCGACCTGCGTTGCCACCTTCAAGGTACAATGGACCTGAACACCCAGATCTCTCTGTGCATCAATTTTCCCCAGGGCTTTTCCATTTACCATGTAGTTTGGTCTTGAATTGGATCTTCCAAAATGCATCACCTCGCATTTGCCTGGATTGAAATCCATCTGCCATTTCTCCGCCCAGCTCTCCAATCTATCTGTATTCTTCTGCATTATCCGACAGTTCCCTTCACTATCTGCTACTCCACCAGTCTTAGTGTCATCTGCAAACTTGCTAATCAGACCATCTATACCTTCCTCCAGATCATTTATGTATATCACAAACAACAGTGGTCCCAACATGGATCCCTATGGAACACCACTGGTCACAGTTCTCCATTTTGAGAAACTCCCTCCCACTACAACTCTCTGTCTCCTGTTGCCCAGCCAGTTCTCTATCCATAGTACACCCTGGACCCCATGCGAGTTCACTTTCTCCATCAGCCTACCATGGGGAACCTTATCAAATGCCTTACTGAAGTCCATGTATATGACATCCACAGCCCTTCCCTCATCTATCAATTTTGTCACTTCCTCAAAGAATTCGATCAAGTTGGTAAGACATGACCTTCCCTGCACAAAACCATGCTGCCTATCACTAATAAGCCCATTTTCTTCCAAATGTAAATGGATCCTATCCCTCATTATCTTCTCCAGCAGCTTCCCCATCACTGACGTCAGGCTCACCAGTTCATAATTACCTGGATTATCCTTGTTACCCTTCTTAAACAAGGGGATAATATTAGCAATTCTCCAGTCCTCCGGGACCTCACCCGTGCTCAAGGATGCTGAAAAGGTATCTGTTAAGGCCCCAGCTATTTCCTCTCTCGCTTCCCTCAGTAACTGGGATAGATCCCATTCGGACCTGGGGACTTGTCCACCCTAATGCCTTTTAGAATACCCAACACTTCCCCCTCTCCTTATGCCGACTTGATCTAGAGTAATCAAACATCTATCCCTAACTTCAACATCCGTCATGTCCCTCTCCTCAGTGAATACCGACGCAAAGTACTCATTAAGAATCTCACTCATTTTCTCTGACCCCTCGCATAACTTTCCTCCTTTGTCCTTGAGTGGACCAACCCTTTCTCTAGTTATCCTCTTGCTCCTTATGTACGAATAAAAGGCTTTGGGATTTTCTTTAACCCTGTTTGCTAAAGATATTTCATGACCCCTTTTAGCCCTCTTAATTCCTAGTTTCAGATTGGTCCTACTTTCCCGATATTCTTCCAAAGCTTCGTCTGTTTTCAGTCACCTAGACCTTATGTATGCTTCCTTTTTACTCTTTGTTAGTCTCACAATTTCACCTGTCGTCCATGGTTCCCTAATCTTGCCCTTTTTATCCCTCATTTTCACAGGGACATGTCTGTCCTGCACTCTAATCAACCTCTCTTTAAAAGCCTCCCACATATCAAATGTGGATTTACCCTCAAACAGCTGCTGCCAATCCACATTCTCCAGCTCCTGCCGAATTTTGCTATAGTTGGCCTTCCCCCAGTTTAGCACTCTTCCTTTAGGACCACTCTCGTCTTTGTCCATGAGTATTCTAAAACGTACGGAATTGTGATTGCCATCCCAAAGTAATCCCCTACTGAAACTTCAACCACCTGGCCGGGCTCATTGCCCAACACCAGGTCCAGTATGGCCCCTTCCCGAGTTGGACTATTTACATAGTGCTCTAGAAAACTGTCCTGGATGCTCCTTACAAATTCTGCTCGATCTAAACCCCTAACACTAAGTGAATCCCAGTCAATGTTGGGAAAATTAAAATCTCCCATCACCACCACCCTGTTGCTCCTACATGTTTCCATAATCTGTCTACATATTTGTATCTCTATCTCACGCTCGCTGAAGGGGAAGAGAAAGTTAGGAAAAAGAGAGGGAAAATGTGAATGGGAAAAAGAGGTGGAGCGATGGGAATGAGGGAAAGAGCAGACGAAAGATGACAGATGGAAAAGAGGGAGAGAGAGTGAGAAAAGAAGGAATTATAGATATATAGAAAAGAGGGGAGGAGGGAAAAAGGCATGGAGAAAAGTGGAGTGAACAGGATATTGGGAAGAGTGAGAGAGATATGGGAAGAGAGAAGAATATCAGAGATTTAACAAACTCAAAATGGTCATAGACAAACTTTAGAAGCTTTAAGCTGAAAACTCTTAGTCAAGAGAGATAGTAGGAACTGCCGATGCTGGAGAATCTGAGATAACAAGGTGTAGAGCAGGATGAACACAGCAGGCCAAGCAGCATCAGAGGAGCAGGAAAGCTGATGGTTTAGGTCTGGACCCTTCTTCAGAAAACTTCTTCAGGATTTCTGAAGAAGGGTCCAGACCCGAAATGTCAGCTTTCCTGCTCCTCTGATGCTGCTTGGCCTGCTGTGTTCATCCAGCTCTACACCTTGTTATCTCAAACTCTTAGTCAAACCTGATTAGTCAGAAACCCTACTCTCTACTGTAGGAGTGACCTGGAGAGCACAGATTGTAGATAAATCATGGAGACAGCTTCACTCACAGTGATTGTTAGTTGAAGACATGCCAACAGGAAGTAAAGGACTCTGTGGAGAGTCACCTTGTAGGTGAGGAGATGTGCACCATAGGCTGATACACAATGTATTGGAGTACTTTAAATCTCATCATTACCAGACTTAAAAATATTGGCTTTCTACCATTATATGAATCATTAAGCAATGTTTTACAATTTCTGAAGGGAACTATTCCCAGTACATAGCTTTAAAAGGAGAAGCGGCATTTCCTTGTCATACTAATCACATTGTCCACAGTTACACTATCAGGGGGCTTTAAAGCAAAGGTTGGATCCTTAGGTCAATCTTCCTCATGTCTAGCCTCAAGGCAATAAGGCCAACACAGTTCAAAAGATCCTGGTTTGATACCTGGACTGAGTGTTGCCTTACCAGAAACCAATGCAGGTCTGCGAGTGTAAGAGTGATGGGTGAATGTGATTCACTATCATTGTTTAACCCTAAGGAACGACCATCTAACCTGACAGAGAAACCTCCCAGGGTTTGAGGGAGAGTAAGAGAGTGGGGGAAATGTGGATAGAAAGCGTACCATGAGAAAAGAAATAAATTCATCAATACATGTTCTGGCTCATTGCATTCATACAGCTGTTGTTTCTTTGTTGGGAAATAGAATCACCTTGTTTCTATTAAAAAAAATCACTTTGCTTAAATGACCCAATTTTTTGTATGAATCAATTTCGTTACAAGTAAAATATACAGCAAGCATGGACATTTGAGCATAAATCAATGCGTCCCCAATCTCTCCAGCGCTGCCTGATTTAGATCAGTTGAAATAGTACACAGAATAACAGTCAACCTCAATGACATCTCATTGTCTCAGCCGTACTCATTTCCATCTCATCACTTGTTAGCTAGCCATGCATAAGACAACAGACATTATAACTTCAGAACAGCACATGGTGATGACTGTTAAGTAAGGGAGCCAGGAGGATCATGATCAAGGAATAATTGAAGTGTGGATGAAATCAGCGGAGAGTGAGACTGGGGGCATAAGTGAAATCAAGGGGCAAGTAGACCAAAGGATTAAATTGCTTTCACTCAGTAACCAGGGGTTCATTCTACTGATTATCACTGGTAAAATAAAAGGACACTACACCTAATTAGCAGCACAGAAACAGAGCATTTGGACTAACAGATCTGTGCCAGTGTCAATATTCTACATGAGACTCCTCTCAGTCCTATCTTGCCCTTGTTTCCCCCCAATCCCTTCTCCATCATTTATGTACGAAACCTTCTTTTGAATACATTAAAACTCTCTACTTCAATCATTCCACGTGGCAGCGAGCTTCAAATTTTCACTACTTTCCATGCAAAGAAACTTTTCCTCAGGTTTTTAAAAGAATTTGCAATTATTGTCATATGGAAGAGCATTGGTGATTTCTTAGTCTCCTGGCCAGCACACACTCTCAATCAATATCACTAAGACAAAAATCTGGCCATTGTTTTATTGCCTGTTGTTGGAACCTGCTATACATAAAATGCCCGCTGTACTTACTATATTACAATGGTAACTATATTTCAAAAATACTTCATTGTTGAAATGTCCTCGGTAAATGAAAGGCATTTTATAAGTACATTCTTTTTCTTTTAAATCGGATCTTTGAATTACAGGTGGAGATGAAGGAAAGAAGCACATTACCTTAGCAACATGAGAAAAAAATAAATTGACAGTTTTCTTTTTATCAAATTGGATTCAGATAAAATATAATAGCCCTATAATCAGTCTCTGTGGGAGACATGTTAGTAATAGCCCCATCAAGTCTTGCTAAATAGTAATGAAGGTTTGATTGCCTGCTCACCTTTACAAGAATCTTGCCCTTCAGGCTATCAGGTGAAGGAAGCTGAGTCATGTCATCTACATGCACTGAAGACACATCAAGTTTATCACCCAAGATCTCGCATAGATACTGGGCCATCTTTTTCTGCTGGGGTACACTGCAGTGGTTTTCAATGGAGAGAATAACCGGGTATCTGTAAATCAGATTCAAACCAAACATTCAGCACAGAGTTAAAAAACTTTCAAAGCACAATGCTACTTCAAAATGACATTGGGCAGCTCTGGAATGTGGGAACTGTCACATTAATGGAGTAGGAGGTGCCTTTACAGATGGGGCTGCAGCATGTGGTTGGAGCTTTATGCTTTACGTGACCCACGTCATCTGGGTCATGGGAGATGAGACAGTGCTGAGGGAGCTGTACTCTTCATCTAATCCAGGCTCTACCTATTTATTTACTGAATGCAAATTCCTGGAGCCAAGTGATTGCCTCCTCAATTGCTAAGTTTAAGCTGGTTAGTCCTTCACGTAGTCTGAGGAAAGGACACTCCTTGATCATGTGTTTTATTTTTTGTGTCTCACCACAGGGACAGAAGGGTTTTGCACTGAGGTCCCAGTAGTAGAAGGGCTACACAGGGGCCCCAACTTGCAGGAACCTTAAGCAGTGAACCACTCTCAGCAGTGTAGTGCAAAGCCTTCTGTTCAACAAATGACATTTGACGCAAGGAATACGTTAGTGACTTCCTATGTTTCCCATTCCTTGATCCCATGGAGGCCTGATTCTAGCTCTTGCTCAGGGAGTTTGTTCAGGGAGTGCTGAGACAGAAGGTGGGAAGTTGCTGATTGAACTTGTCATTTCAAGCAGGAAGCGAGGTGCACCATCAATGGTTTCAATCTGCTTCTGTGTTTTCAATAGTCAGAAAATCTTGCCCTGGGAGCATTTGTTGAGACAGTGCAGAGGGACCTTCATTCTGTAGCTGACCTCTCTATACCTGTGTGTTAATGGATCATGTGACTGTGTGGGGCATAATGTTCCTTGGAACTTCTGTTAAAATTGGGTCTACTGCTTCTTTCAGTTCATCTGCTGCTGTGAAACTTAGTTCAGGGTCATTGCATCAGAATCTCAATACTCACTCGGACTTTGCAAAGGCATACTTGTTGATAGTTTCAATCACATCTCGGAAGAGGATCTTGGAGGTGAGTGTGTAGCCATGGTGAACAATGGGCTCTCCATCTGGTCCATCCCAACAGTCAACTAGAAGACAACATCATCACTTATGAAACATAATGCATCAAATAATGGCCTTTATTGACCACACCATGCACAGGACAGCAGAATCCTTGTCTTCCAATCTATCCAGAGGCACGGTCCTCTTCATTTCTGTCATCTCCTCCAGCCTTACAAACCTCCAAGACACTTGCTCTCCTATAATTCTAGCTATTGGAACAACTCCAATTCTCCACCTTTAACGGTTTCACCAATAGTGGCCACATGTACACCTGCCTATGCCCTAAGCTCTGTAATTGTCTTCACATCTCTCTGTCTCTCTCGACTTCTCTCTCCTCTCTTGAGATCTGTGGAATATCAGTCATTGAGTATGTTCAAGACGGAGGTCAATAAATTTCTCGCTATTAAAGACATCAAGGTATGTGTGACTAGTGCAGGAAAATGGTGCAGAGGTAAAAGATCAGCCAGCATCTATGTGTTTCAGACTGAAGGAACTGAATTGCTTACTCCTGCTCCTATTTTCTATGTGTAGTGATTGGAACCATGTTAAGGTAGATCTCATTGACTATGAGATCCTTGATTGGGGTTGTTAACCTGGGCCAAACAGGGAGCCCTGGATGACAGATATAAACAGGAGATTCAAAAGGTCTCCTTAGTCTAGGGACTGGCTCTGAGCCCATGTGCAGTGCACATGGAAATAAAGGGTGACGGGATATAGGCCTCTGTGCAGTTATTTCACTATTGGTTACATTACATCCCCAGAGTTTTAATGGGAAATGTGTTGACTATGCATTTCTGAAGTCTTAAAAATATCCCAGAAATGCCACAAATTTCCTCTTCAAATGCGGTCAGGCCAGTCCATCCCCAGCAGCAAGTGAAGACACGCACAGTTTTAAGTAGCATTCACAATCCTTAGCTATGACTTGTTCATCCCTGTTTTCCCATGGTCTGTTAGGAGAAGGAGCTGGTGGAAGTGCTCTCCTGCAAAATGCAGTACAATTTGGTTATCAGTGAGCTGCTTAATGATGCTGCAGGTGGCTGCTTTTAGGACTGGTTTCATCTTCTTTAACAAGGTGTGTTTTGCACCAAATGCAGGTTGAACCAGTATTACAACTAAAGTGCCCAGGGAGCAACTACAACCCAAACTGGAAAAATCATTCTGGCAGCATCTGTAGAAACAGAGAGAGAAACAGAGTTGATGTTTTGAGTCTGGTAAGGAGAACAGTCACACCAAACTTGAAACATTGACTCTATTTCTCTCCATAGATGCTGCCAGACCTGTTGAGTTTCTCCAGCATCCTTTGCATTTCTTTCAAGTTTCCAGCATCTGCAGCATTTTGGCTTTATTGTTGTAAAAAATTATTCTTGTTTATGAATACCTTTCTGTGGAAAGTCCAGTTATAAAGAATCTCAAAATACAACACAGTGCCAACCATTTCTGCAGTATCTAATATACAGTATAGCTGAAAGAGCTGAGAGTACAATGCTTGTTTAGTAGCTGTTGTCAAGATAACTGCTACCAATTTACTATAATGACAATCCTGATTTTAGAAAATTGCATCCCTTTTGTGCTGACTTTTATTGTGGGGAAATTAATGTCCATTGTAATAAGCATTGTGATGACTGAATTGTCACTGACTATGGATCATATGTCACAAGATAACAGGATAATGCTATGACAGTAACATCTTTTGACATGAATTTGCTTTGTAGACATTCCCTTGCTTGCTTTTCAACAATAGGGAGAATCTTTATAACGTCTTGCATCATCTGTTTTTGCCCAAGTTAAACATAAAACACTCTAAGCAGCAACTTTGAAGATTAGATTAAAGGCTATTTCCTTTGGACCAAATAAGAAGGACAAACTGACATCTATATAGCTTTCACACCCTTCCTAATTTCTTAAAATAATTTACAATCAATAAAATACATTATTGTAGCGTAGTCATTGTAGCAACACAGGAAACACAACAACAACTTGTGCACAGAAAACTCCCAGAAATAGCATATTTTATCAACCAGATAATCTGTTTCTACTGGTGTTGTTTGAGGGATGAACATCAACCAAAATACAGGGGAGCACTTCCCATTTGTTCATCACAGGGACTTTTCACAGTCATCCAAGAAGGCTAACAGGATTACAAAGTGTCAGCACCTTGGACAGCATCGCATTTTCAATAAAGCACTGGAGTGTTAGACTACATTATGTTGCTGAAGACGCTGGAGTGTTCCCTGAACCCACAACCTTCTAAATCCGATGCAACTAAGCCACAACTGACAGATTTTTAAAAGAAAGGATGTGTTAAATAGTGAAGACTGCAGCGACACTAGCACCTAATATTATATAAGGCAATACCTTCCTGAAACACCTCTCATCCCCACCCACCGAGAGAAAGTAAGCAGCGTTGATCTTACCTTCAACACAGCGACAACCGGTCTGTAGTACCCAAGCATACATGTCCACTCGGGACTGTGACATTAGTTGGTCCCCCATCAGGTAGGTGTTGTGAGAGGAGGCAATGTAATAGTTACACATAGGCTGTGTCATGTCCTGGCTCACTTTGTAATGTTCAGGGTTAAAAATATCACCTGCTGGGCTTCTCATGTAGTTTGTGAAACCTGTGGGATTGAAAACAAAATCATTCCACTTGTGAAAGAGTCAAGGATAAGTGGATCTAACTAAAATCAGTTCTCAAGACAGTAGTTAGGAAACCCATCATCGTACAAAGAAAGATAGAAATGAGGAACTCTGTCTCTCAAAGGTAATGGATGCTAATTGATTTAATCATTAAAATTTTTGAAATTAGCTTTCATTGTTATACAGGGATATTTCAGCATATGGAGTGTGGGCAAATGGATGGAGCTATATTAAAAGTAGCCATGATCAGACTGAATGGTAGACCAGATTCAAGAGGCTGAATGGTCTCCTTCTATCCCTATGTATGGTTATCAATAACTAACATAAAAGCTGGAAGATAACAGGAGGCTGGAGATTGGAGGTTCACTGTACTAGATCAAATATCCAGAGTTGAATATAACACTGTGAGGACTAGACTTTTGGGAAGCGCATTGCTGCAATTTTACACACACTGCACTTCCCTCCATTCCAAGTCAATCCACCCTGTGGAGTAGGGGATTATTAAATGCAGCCCCGAGTTCCAAGCTGAAATCATAAAATCAATAATATTTCTAAATATTGGCTGGTAGCAGTTTTTTTCCTTTTGATTCACTAATTTGTTTTACAATCAATAGATGAATATACAATGTTATCGAGCATCAGAACCGGGAAGCCTCTGATCTGAACTCAGTTTGTACAAAGTAGGATGGTGAGAGTAATAAACAGTGAGTGTTGATTTTATTTTTAAAAATGACATAATTGTTGGAAAAACTAGGTGTAACTGTGTGAACATGTAATTGTGCATGTATGTTTACGTGTGTATGTATGTGAGACAGAGAATGAGCTGTTGGTAATGGGATAAGTGCAAGGTTCCCCTGTGATGCTGCTGATGAGACCACAAGTCTGCTAACATCCACCATCTGCTAGAAATATGAGGAATAGCTACCTGGGTAATGCATCAGAGAACAGTGCTTATGGAACTGTAGCCTCAGTGAGGTGTCATCGAGAGAAGAAACTGGGGGAATGAAAATGCAAGCTTACCATCAATCCCAAGGACCCCTTGCTTCCTGTTCTCCAGGCATGGCTCAAATTTATCAACGATCTCCAGGCAATGTTCCTTTGTAACACTGGTCATCTAATTAGGAAAGTCGAGAAATGAGAGTGGCTTACACAGTCATTCACCTCCCTGCTTTGTCTGTCATTACACAGCCTGCTCTCCACTCAGACAGCGAGATGTTTAATCACAGGGGATGGTTCTAATCCTGTCGCTCAGTGTTGTTGTCCTGATTACTCACAGCCACTGAAGGTTTGACACTGTTAAGGTCTATCGACCAACAGAAAGATAATAAGGTTGTTCTTGACCACAGGGGTGGTGATTGCAAGCTGTGGAGCTCTCTGTGCTTCTCTAATTCTGGTCTCTTACACAAACAGTCATGGAGAGCTATAGGACTCTGTTCATCTAAAGCTACCAGGTTGTTGTATATTACACTAATCATGGCTATGTCTCAAATTAATCTCATATTTTAACACAAACTGTTAGTTTCTGAAAGCAATACAGAAATAATAACTACTTGCAAATTAAACCCTGTGCGCACTTTATGCTCTGCAATAATTTTTAAAAGGGAGAATTGGAAGTGAAGGACCAAGGTCTACGGCACAGGGGACATCCAAGTGGAGAGTGGAAAAATTCAATCAATACTTTGGATTTATAAAGGATAGGAAGATGGGTTAACAGTGGGAGGAGGGGAACTCAAATTGGACTATGTCCGGGTAGAAGATGGCACAACTATAATACTAAACAACACCTACAATCAGAGTATATTGCAAAATAAGGAATTGTCTTTGCACAGTTTTCTAAAGCAGTTAATTCCCGACATAAACTAAAATGGAAAACTTTCTAATTTAAGGTAGGCTTTCACCAAAATTCAAAAATTTTAAAAAGTAGAATTTGCAAACATTGAGAATAATCTCTAAAAAATAATGGGCATGCTTTCCATAAAGCTGATCAGATATTGGTATTTGCACTGGGTCAATTATGATATCAATTAGTTAAAAATCGATATGCACTTGTTCAATGTTGACATCTACTGGTTAACTATCGATAAAGTGATGTACACTGAGTGAAACTAGGCTACAGGGAGAGTGAGATTAGTTTTGAATTGCTCTAGCAAAGCGCCAACACAGAGATGATGCCATGGAAAGGCCTCATCCTGTACTGTAAGCATACATTTTTACCATCTGTCCCTGACCACTATAGTTCTAGCTCTAGTCCATACGTTAAACAACAGTTTGATAATGCCATAGGGTGATGGCCTAGTGGTATTATTGCTTAGACTGTTAATCCAGAGAGCTGGTAATATTCTGGGGACTGGGGTTCAAATCCTGCCATGCAGATGTTGGAATTTGAATTCAACAAATATCTGGGATTAAGAATTCAACGACGACTATGAAACTACTGCTGATTGTCAGGAAAAACTCATCCGGCTCATTAATATCCTTTAGGGAAGGAAGGAAACTGCCATCCTTACTTGGTCTGGCCTACATATGACTCGAGGCCCATAGCAATGACACTTAGCTGCCCTCTGGGCAATTAGGGATGAGCCAATAAATGCTGGCCTGTCAGCGATGCCCATATCCCATGAATGAATATAAAAAACGCAACAAGAGTTTTACCTCAATCTGGTTTATAAAGGAATCTGTATCTCACAAAGAAACAGACAATGTCTATGCAAGGATTCATCACATCTCAGTTTCACACAGTGAATAACTTTTAGAAGCAAATCAATAGTAGCAACATCCTGCAAGCAGCAATGAGACAAATGAATGTCTCACCAGCTTTTGATTAATAGAGGATCCTGACTCAAGCTTTAGCAGAACACACCCTGTTCTCCAAACAGGTCCAAGCAGCCTGTGTTCTTTCACTTCTATCTGAACAGGCAGATGGGGCCTCAATTTAATGTCCCCTCTACAAGACAGCACTTGCAACATCAACCAGTTGATGTACTCAAATACTGTGCTCTGTGGGGAGGAGAATGGGAGGCTGGTGAGTGCAACAATCTGGGAGCCCCAGTGCAAATCAGCCAAGAGTTCTACAGATCCCGATCGGGCAAGACAGGGTTAAAATCCATGGCTGTTCACTTGGTTTAATCTCAGCAGAATGGTAAGACATATTCTGGATAAAGACAAGGCCCTGACCCAACACCAAAGAATCCAGGATGAATCTCTAATGCAAAGGTTCTGTCCGTCCCTTAGAAAGTCATTGTCAGAAGGAAAGTGAGACTGAGACTTCAGTAGGAATGGAGTGTGGTCAGCACACATAGCAGGCACAAAATCTCTCTGGAGACATTTTGAGGAACATCTAGGAGCAGCAACTTAATAAAGACTAAATGTGGAAGTAAATTTTATCTTACTGGAATGGCTCCTTTTGTAAAATGGCCTTGTTTGGGAATATGAGAAAACTTTAAATTCCAGGTGATCCTCCTTCCCCCCATCACTCGGTCACCTATGACCTCAAGTTGGAAAGTCACCTTGCACCACCTACCCCTAAGTCATAGTCGTTAGAGGGAGGGACTCTCTCTGATCCCATTAAATCTGACTGACCGCAGAATACTGCATGGTGCAAATGGTAAGGCTCACTTCAGAAGATTGGGTAAGGGTACAGAGAGTTGGACAGAGGCACACATAGAGAGAAAAAGGCAATGATAATAGGAAAGAGACACATAAAAAGAGAGTGGAAGAGACAAGGAAAGAGAAAAACAGAGGGACAGAGTAAGAGAGAAAAACAATAAGACAGAGTCAAAGAAAGGGAGGGTAGCATCAGCATGCAGAGAGAAAGTGAGGGAGAGACAGTGAGACAAAAAGGGATAGTGGGCCTGATAGACACTGAGACAAAAACAAGAGGCAGAGACGAAAGGAAGCAACTGTGTTCATCAAAGGAAATGAATGGAGATAATGGTAGAACGTGGGAGACAGACAGAATGAGAGACAGACAGAGAAAAATGGGGAAAGAAAGAAAGAGGAAAAGACCAAGGAAGAGAAAGAGAGAGGGAGAGTAAAGCAGTGTGAGAGACATGGCTGGAGAGATGAAACAGACTGGGGTGGGTAGAGAAAGAAGGTGGGGGGGAGAAATGAGAAACAGAGAGAGAGAGCGAGCTAAGTTGCTGTTCTAATTTGTTCTTCAGCTGTACTGTGATGTGATATACAAACTGTACAGACTCCTGGAACTCTGAAAGAAAGTGGAAGATGGGCCTGAATTGTATCCTAAATTTGAACATTATTCAAAACAATGCACAAATTTCACTTTTTTTAAAATTTAAACTTAATTCTGTTTCGGTAATGTGTCACATTCTGAGTTTTGTCACACTAAACCAGTAAAATCCAGATCAGAAAGGAGATTTTGTGGCACTGTGGGGAGTGTCCCTACTTCTAGGCCAGAAGTTCCAGGTTCAAATCCCACACCAAGAGATGTTGGAAATGGAAGGAATGTTCATGGCTGTAGTGATTGGAACCAGGTGGATCCATTGACTATGAGATCCTTGATTGGGATTGTTGACCCAGGTCAATCAGGAAGCCCTGGCTGACCAATACTAACAGGGGGTTTAGAATCTCCTCAGTTCAGGGGACTGATTCAGAGATGACTAGCCCATAGGAAAAAAGCATCTGAAGATAAGCTAAAAAGATTTCAAATCACTGGGGTGGACATCTGTCACACAACGCCTATTTTTAAAATACGGTTGGATGTCGCACGAACCGCTGAGGTGTAGGGGTGCAATTTCAATATATGTCAAAATGGTGAGATAGATATGTTTGTTTTTGGAGTTTGTTGAATTTTGAACATTTCTGACACTGGGTCAAAGTTTGACCTTAAGTGAATGAATCAGGGTGAGTGCAGAAACAGGGCATGTATTTCTGTGCCATTGAGCAGACAGCCAGTTTGTAGATACCATCCTTCCCTGAGCCTTACTGCTGCAGGTCAGATCACAGCAGAATGACTCTGCAAACAGCAGGTGGCTGAGTAAACTCATTCAAAGACAAATTCACACAGCGTATGAGAGAACGACTGGAATTTTACAGTCAGCCTGCAAGCCCTCTGTGGGATCAGCACAGCAGCAGTTGCCTGGAAGCAACCTCCTGGTGGCAGGCTGTTAAACAGCCAGAGCTCCAGACAGATGTTGAGGCCTCCATCCTCCTGCCACCTCAACCTGCTGTAACCTGTCCCACTCAATAATGGTGGCACCCTCTCCCTCCACCCTACGTACCTCGGAAAGCAGCAGCTCCTTTCCATCCCGGATCAGTGGCCCAGAGCCTCCTATTTGCCTCCCAGCTTCATGGGTCCATCTGCCATCTTGAATTGGATGGCAAGTGCAGACATTGGCTGCCAATTGGTCAAGTCAGGGGCAAATCAAGGTTGGGTGACTGTTCCTGACACAAAGTGATATCCAGGCCACTATTTGAATCTAGGGTCAGGTGCAGAGCCAAAACACAAAATCCTGCCCCTTTTTGTCAGCAGCTCTGAGTGTGGTGGGCTTGGGGGCTGGCCCACAGTCGGGTGCTGCCAGAGGCAGAATTTGGGGGGTGGTGGTTCGAGAAGGAGCAGGAATGAAACTTGTGCTAACACCAAAAACAGGCACAGAGCTGGCAGTGTTTGCTCTATATGGTCAGGGTGACCAAGATGGAGCCTGATATTAAGGTCTTTTTTACGTTTAGTGGAAGCTGTCATCTTAGTAAATGAGGGAGAAAGAGAAATATCAAAATGCATTGATTGAGCTTGGGATTTAAAAGCCTGATTTGGTTGGAAGGGGAAGAGTGAGGTCAGTGAAGAAGACTTACAATAAGTTGCTTAGATTTCAGCCAAAGTGCACTGATGACAACGTTTTAAATAAGGAAACGCCAGCTATTCACTGATTGCTGTTTGCTACTTCAGTGCAATGTCTGCCAATAGGTTGTTCCACAAGAGGCAGACTAGAAAAGACAGTGGCAAGTCAGATTGAAGGACGCTGGTTGGGTTGGTATTCAAATATATTAAAAGATTTGAGTAGTAAATTTCACTCCACTCGCCTGTTCAATTTGGTAATGACATAGGCAGATCACAGAGCTGTTGTTATATCATGTTAACACCTTGGGAAATAAGTTTAGCTACATTATCCTTCAAAAATATTGGACAGAGGCAGAGTGAACGCAGCTGTCTGTTTTTAATATTACCAGCCCATAAATACATAGGAAATGTCTGTCTCAGCATATTCCCTATGTATAACAGTGTAGGGAGTCTCGTATCTACTGTACCATTGATGCCTGGAACAATGAGATAGTGAGCAAATTGTAAATTAATGATGGGCAGTGCCTTCTTTAAAGTCGTCTCATCATTCTGCATAGGCCAGACTTCAAACAAACTTATTGTGTGACTTATTATCGACCTCAATCCACTTTCACATTCCAGAGTCAAACTTTTAAACTTCAAGCTGAGAGCTGATGCTTCTTGATATTTTGCTTTCTCTCTCCGTGCCTTCATTCAGCCACACAGTGCGTCCATTGTTACTCTGCTAAATGTGACCTCTTCTGCATTCTCTCCATAGCACATGCTATCCTATCCCATCATCCTTCAGTCATTCGCGCCTTTGCCATCAAATGTCAAGGTTCCATTGAATTCTGTTTTTAAATGCCCCTGTTCCTCCATCTAGTCATCTTCCTTTAAAACCTCCTTTAAAACCTTTACCTTTGACCAATGCTTTAGTCACTTCCTATGAATCTATCTCCCTCTCTCTCTGGTGGTGCCCTTCTTAAAAACAGACAGCTGCGTTCACTCTGCCTCTGTCCAATATTTTTGAAGGATAATGTAGCTAAACTTATTTCCCAATGTGTTAACATGATATAATAACAGCTCCGCGATCTGCCTATTTCTGTGTGTGTATTTATCAGGAAAACACTATGTGGCTGCCAGTCCATCTTTCCTCCTTTGTGTCCCACTGTAGGTATCAACCTCTTCAATTCGATTTCTCAAAATGAAACCTGACCTCCAGATTTGTTCAACTCAGTTTCTTTATCAATATTTCAATTCATCCCAAAAACCATCTCACCAAAAACCCTTGATCCAATACATCCACCATCTCACCAAAATCCCTCAATAAAACCCACCCTCATCTCACCAAAATCCCTCAACCAAACGCATCCACGTCTCACCAAAATCCCTCAATCAAATGCATCCACATCTCACCAAAATCTCTCAATTAAATGCATCCATATCTCACCAAAATCCCTCAATTAAACGCATCCACATCTCACCAAAATCCCTCAATCAAACCCACTCACTATCTCACCAAAATCCCTCAATCAAACTAACCCACATCTCACCAAAATCCGTCAATAAAACCCACCTATATCACATCAAAATCCCTCAATAAAACTCACCCACATCTTGCCAAAATCCCTCATTCACACATCTCACCAGAATAACTTGATCATTCCTCCCACCATCTCACAAATAAGTATGAATCCCCGCTTCTCACCAATACTTGCCAATCTACCTGTGTAGATTTCTTACGCTTGTGTGAAAAAAAATCCAACTTTGTCTCTTCCCACGGAGTTATTTGTTTGCTAGGCCTGTCTCTGAATTCAAGCTCTTCCTCTTGCTTCAGTTAGCTCCCAGGCGGAGAAGAATGAAGGGGAGATACTCCCCACTGCATGGGGCAACAACTAAACAAGCAAGGCCTACACCAATCCGTGTTTTGGATGGGTTCATGGCATGTTCTTAGCCCATTCTGAGTTCTGACTTGGGGATCCATGCAGAGGGCACATCACTTTGCTCTGGACTGATGCTATCTCAAACTGCTAACCTTCTGCTCCACCTCCAGAAATCTCTTCAGGCCATCGCAGTCTAATTGGTCTTTGTGATTACTGTACATCAGCATCAAAAGGTAGAGGTCTCGGCGTGTGGACATCATCTTATAAAAAGCACAAAACTCTTCAAAGTCCAATGTCCCTTGGTTCTCATCCGTGTCTGCCTCCTAGTAACGAAAGAAAGACAGTCATGTGACTTCCATTACAACAGCTCCATTTTATCAATTGTTCCCTCCATCCTTATAGGATTCAAAATATTCCAAATGAAAATTACTTAATACATTAAAAGACCTTGATACTTTAGTAAATGCCAAAGTGTGAAAGACTAGCATTTATATAGTGTCTTCCACAGCTCTGAATGTCCCAAGATTACAAGGTGTAGAGCTGGATGAACACAGCAGGCCAAGCAGCATCAGAGGAGCAGGAAGGCTGACGTTTCGGGTCTTCTTCAGAAATAGACTCAGAAATGAAGAAGGGTCTCGACCCAAAACGTCAGCTTTCCTGTTCCTCTGATGCTGCTTGGCCTGCTGTGTTCATCCAGCTCTACACCTT